TTGTAGTGAATGAAATTTTTATTTATTTATATCAAATGGCAGGCATTATGATAGTTATCATTAGCCATTTAGTTGACTTCAGGCTTCACAGAGTGGGAGGAACATCAAAGTGAAAAAAGTCGAGATGGTGGGGAGGGGGGAACAGAAGAGTGATTCAAAGATGTAAAAGAGACAGACACAAAGGCATAAAAAGGTAAGATGAGTACTGTGGAAGGGGTCGAATATGACATAGAGTGGGGTCATGGTAGTTTGAAGTGAGAAGTCAACTGCCGATTAATAGACTTTTTGCCATATGAGTATATGTTGCCCAGGGTGCACCACGTGGAGGTAAGTCTATCGCACACCCCATGAATGAAATGTTGATGGCCATCTCAACCGTGTGAATACTTCTAACTCATTCTTAACATAAATCTTGTTCATTGTATGGATTTTATACATTCATTGCGATTTATAGGTACATAACCTTGATCTCCTATGCATTTATTTCCATGTTTTTTTGAAAATTTAAGGTCAAATGTAAGTCAGTAAATGGAAAGTTAACTGACAAATCAAAACAAAACGTTTTTTCATCGATCGTTTTGAAGACCCCTTGTGATTGTAATTTCCAATATAAAGTTTTTTTAAATATCAAGTACTTAAAAATACCTTCAAGGAAAGTTTCGTCTAGGTGTACACGACTCCCACATGAACTTTTGTTTAAATTTATGGTGACGTCTAAAATGATTCGCCTTGTTACCGTTTTCAGCGCTTTAAACTCCCTTTTTGTTGTCCTTTTTAAGGTTCGAAAAATTGAATCCCGCTGCAAAGGCCTCGCTCGTCGGCAAAATGAACAGGAGCTTCGAATGAGCGAGAAGGAGAAAGAGATCGAACGTCTTATGGATCAGGAGCGTGAACTCAGGCGAGAACTTCGCAACTGGCAACAGAGAGTTTTTCAATTGGAAGCTGAGGTACGTTCTACCCCTTCCCCCTCCCCCCCAACAATCCCCCTTTTCAACTGTTCACATTTCTGCTTCCTTATTCATATTCTCCAACTTGATTTTGACTTTGAGAGATTAATTTTTAATATGGTCTATTCAACTAAAAATAATCATCAGCCCTGAATTGGGCAATTAGGGACACAGACCTCTATAATGATTCCAAAAATGAAGTAAGAAATTAAAATTTATACGATTATTCTTGATGCTAAGAAGATATCTTGGGCTTGATTGTGCTTGGATTCATTAAACCAACACGAAAGGGATCCATTAAAATATTCTCCTATTTAAAATCTTCCGTTACTTTTCTTGAAGAACATTGGCTATTGATTCTACTGGTTTTACTAGTGGAATTTTTATAAGAAGAGCATTGCAATATGTTCTAAGGTCCCGAAACGAGAGTAATGAGGCCAGGTCATCATGATTCATCACCTATTTGCATTCTGAAGGTTTTGAGCTCTCTGCATTTCTACAGGAGGTGTAGTTAGCAGAATGATATCCAAGTCCACAAGTTGACGACTTGACTTCCAGTGTTGTGCTTGAGACTCCTGTAAAGATAACTAAATCTATTGGACCTTCGGTTCCATTATAAATCGATTCTAATCATCGCAAAATTACATTTTTAGTGTAAAATAAGATATCATAGCAATAATTCTCGAATCCAACATACGGTTTGAATCTCTATTTGGAAAGATTTTTAGTGTTTAAAACCCAACGGACTGGTATATTTCATTTTCTGCAATACTTCAGAATACTTTAACCCATTTTGTTAAGCATTCGGCTGAAGTAAGTTAAGCGTTTATTGCGGAAAATTTGCATTAAACACATTTTGTATTCAATTCGAATGGATCAAATCAGTTAACTTGTAGTTAATGGCTTTCAATTAAATTGGTAAGGTTTCAAATTTTATACAAATCATAAATTTTACCCCTTTTTCGATTGCATGAGTTGGAATAAAGTCGGATTAGTTTTGACCCACTGACATACATCGTTTAATTTTTACCTAACTATATTAACTATATTAGTATGTTAACATAAATAAGATCAAGTATAGTGGGCATTATCGATTACTATGTATGATCGTTTATGAGACGCATTAAGATCCCGTTGTACTTCTGCCAAATTTAATGGAGACTTCTTTCAATTTTTTGTGAAAAATAGATAGTTCAGTGGTTATTGTCAATTTAATTACCATGAAATTCACGCTCACCTACATGCAAGTTTGCATCATGTAATTTCACATTTTGGCAAATCTTTGGAGAAAACGATAAATGAATAGATCCAATTTCGATTTATTCATGTTCAATTAGAAATATTTATCAATCTTTTATTTAAGAAAATCATTTGCCAGAATAAACCATGTGGCTTTTCATTATTAAAATTGAAATTGAGATTATTTTAACAAAGATCTTCTTTCACTTACTAATCTTTTTTATTAATTCCTTTAGCTGTGGGAATTAATCTAGAGGGCCCCATAACTAATTAGCATTTTTAAAAGTCTTAATATTATATTTGCTCCATTTCTAAGGTTGTGGTATCCAGATATATCCGAAAAAATGTAAAAGTACAAGGTCTTTCTGTGAATGATCTTTAAGTCAAATGTGAAATTTCGGTTTCTACAGCTGCATGCGCCGCAGTTATAAAATTGCACGCCCTGGCTGTAACTGCGATTCTCACTCGACCTTATGACCTCAAATCTCATACGCCTCCGACACCCATGCTTCTGCTGGCCAAATTTAATTAACTTATGTTCAAATCGAGTTTATGGCTTTTGGTAGTTTTTTTTAAGTCCCAGATTGCGCCCCGGTTAATTTTAATTTGCATGTCAAAAGCACCTATTGAACAAGAGAAAAACATTTCCGCAAGTATCCCTGAAAAAGGTCATCATTCCGTTACTTCTTTATTTATTTATTTATATCAAATGGCAGGCGTTTTGATAGTTATCATTATCCCTTTAGTTGACTTCGGGCTTCACAGCGGGGAAGGAACATCAAAGTGGTAAAAAAGTCGAAGGAGGGGAAGGAACATCAAAGTGGTAAAAAAGTCGAAGGAGGGGGGAACAGAAGAGTGCTTCAAAGACGAAGGTAGAAAAAGGTGAGGTGAGTTCTGTGGAAGTAGTCGAATATGGCATACAGTGGGGTCATGGTAGTTTGAAGCCAACTGCCGGTTAATAGACTTTTTTGTCGTAGTAGCATACGTTGCCAAGGGTGCACCACTTGAAGGTAAGTCTATCGCGCACCCCCCGTTACTTCTTTAATTTCCAAATTATCCCCATCCACTAACGGGTTGCAGTTTTGCTGCCTGTGGTTCAATAGAAGTCCAGGTTGTTTCTACAAGACAAGCATTTTATCTATGCCCAATAATTTACAGAATATTCACAATCTAAAATATATGAGGATGGTAATTTAACGGAGAAGAAAATGTAGTTTTGGACTAACTATCTTAAAACTGTTTCTTTCCAGGCAAGATATTTGACCTGACTTTTTAAAATGGTCACAAGGTCATATTTTATGCTACACTGCGGGGAGATGCATTTTGCCAAATTTAAAAGTGAAATGACTTTCAAGGTTAAAATTGGCTTTGAAATTTAGAAAAAAACATCCGTTATTATTACCATTATTACCAAATCAATAATTTTACCATTTTTAATTATAAGAAGAGATATGCCTTCACTATCAACATCTTATTTGGAAGCGGAGGGGTGTGTGCGATAGACTTACCTCCACGTGGTGCACCCTGGACAGCTGTGCGATAGACTTACCTCCACGTGGTGCACCATGGGCAATGTATACTCATGCGGCAAAAAAAGACTATAAACCGGCAGTTGACTTCTCACTTCAAACTACCATCACTCCACTGTATGTCATATTCGACCACTTCCACAGTACTCACAGCACCTTTTTTCTACCTTTGTGTCTGTCTCTTTTGCATCTTTAAAACGCTCTTCTGTTCCCCCCCCCCTCTTGACTTTTTTCGATTTGATGTTCCTCTCCCTCTGTGAAGCCTGAAGTCAACTAAAGGGCTAATGATAACTATCATAAAGCCTGCCATTTGATATGAATAAATAAATTATAAGAAGAAGCTGACATTGAATGACAGAAAACTCAGCAAGGAATACAGTTGAGATTATCAGATAGGCTCTGAGAACGATTTCAAGATGCCCAAGGCTCTTAGTTCGCTGAAATTTGAGTTGAATTCGTAAAATTCTTACTAACTGAGCAATCTATGTTCGGGAAGTCAATTTTTCATGAGGTAACCTCCAAATCGAAGCAACTGGTTGTAAATGTAAGAAGCGGTGTTCATTCAGAGTAAACTTTGTAATCCGATAATATCATAAATTACACAAGAGGAAATCGTTGAAGCTATTTCCACTTATTTATAATTTTAAATATTTACGTCATTGTATATAAATGCATCTTATTAGTTTGTTCTTTCGACAAAATACTAGGTTCCCTATTCTGGGGTGTGCGATAGACTTACCTTCACGTGGTGCACCCTGAGCAACGATTACTCATACGGCAAAAAAGTCTATTAACTGGCAGTTGACTTCTCACTTCAAGCTACCATCACCTCACTATATGTCATATTCGACTACTTCCATAGTACTCACCTCACCTTTTTTCTACGTTTGTGTCTGTCTCTTTTACATCTTTGAAACACTCTCCTACCTCCCTCCCTCACCTAGAATTTTTGTGATTTTGATGTACCATCCTCTCTGTGAAGCCTGAAGTCAACTAAAGGGCTAATGATAACCATCAAGACGCCTGCCATTTGATATAATAATAATAATAGTAATAATAATGAAGGTTCCCCATTCATCCATTGGTATACAAATATACGACTATTTGATGACAGCAATAGGATTTTCACATGCACTTTATGAAACATGAACTACCACGGTAGTTGCTACTTATTTATAGGATATTGTAGGCATTTATCCTACATTCTATGAATAAATTATTTAAACTATGTTAGAACCAAGGCTTGAAAGGAGGCTTGTCTAACTCAAACCAGTGACATCAGAGTTCACAGAAAGTAAGATTTTTAAATTTTTTGGTTGAGAAAACGCATTAAAAGCCTTCCTCACTTAAGATATTTGTTTTTTTCATGGTCAACTATCATGTTGAAATATTTTAACGTTAGTAAAATCAACATTGAAAGGCTTTCTGGCTTTAATTAATTATTTATTTAATTATTTAACGGCAATCTCGTGTTTGGTAATTGAGATTTTGTTTCAGTATTTTGCTCCCCTACCCTTTAGACGCAGGAAATTCGCCACAACTACCAAATAGCCGATTTGGAAATGAAATCACGGCTTCTGGAAGCCAGCATTCAGGCTGCCGATCCCACGGCCAGAGTCAAACCAGATATACAGAATCCCGTCAGTCTCTTCTCCGAAGACCTTCTCCGACTTAAAACTAGTGGAGATGAATCAGATCATACCAACACCACAACTCCAAGCACTCCTATAGTGTCTGTCCCGGTACAATCCACACAAGAGGAGCACCATTTACCACCGAAGTTTACAAAGCCTTCTTTGCGTGGAAGACCAAGATTTGCTTCCACAACGAATCTCTCGCGATTCACTTCTGCATCTTCAACCCAACAGGTAGAAGACTCCTGTATATTTATATTTGCGTTTATATTCCATAATTGGATGAATTGGAAAACAATTCTTAGGTGAATCCATATTTCATAGCTTTAGCATCACCTGATGCCTAAAATATGACCCTTCATAAATTTTTAAAACAATTGAAGGATATTTTCAGTACTCATTGACTCTGAAATAATGGAATAAATAAGGTTGTCAACTAATACTCCCTTAAGCCTTTAATTGCAGGCCATGCCAATGTGAAGGCAAATAGATGATTGTGGGATAGGGGATTGACGTAGAGATTGCCAAAGGGGTGACAAAATTGAGGCTCCTCACAAGGGAGACTCCATGTTGCAACACTCACCACATGAAGAGCATCACGAAAAACTATCCGAATCGGACTTCAAAGATGTCAGAGGGTGTTGACTCTTCAAGTCGACTTATTTTGACATCCGTGAATATCCGAATTTTTTTGAAAAAAATTCAACATTTTCCTAAAAATGTTTAATTTATCTAATATTAAATCATCGGAATAAATCGAAATTGATCTTCAAACTTTATTACTATTAGAAATAAATCGCTGAACCAAAATGGAATTTGTTATTCTACTGTGAATAAATGTATTAACATTTAATTATGAGTTAATTTTCGGAATATGACAAGCCATTCCTTTTCTACTTGAAACCTCAGAAAGCCTTATTGTCAGCACAATACCAAGAGCTTAGATAAATTATGAAGGTGTTTAACATTCAATTATATTTAGAAATTTTCTCCGTCACCCTTTTACTTTATAGTTATGGTTAATAAAGCGTGGAACACAAATTAGGTATATACAATTTGTAAATGCAATCTTACTAAGCTTATTGAAAAGAATTGCTCCGCTGAAATCATAGTTTTTTTCTAGATAGTTAAGAGCATTGTTTATGTTCAATTGAGGTTTTAAATTTATCTTGCAATCTTCGTTCCTCTAAAATTTAAAGTTAGAAAAGTCTATATCTTTGCTACTGATGAATTCAAGTAGTCGCGTTATTCCCTTGTAGACCAATGCAACTGAACTGAGTAGGCCTGCGTCCAGCCTGAACCTGAATGGTTCCAACAGTGGCAGTGAGGGATCATCATTCCGTAATCGAGGCAATTTCCTCACAACCTCCTTCGGTTCGCTTTCCGAACTGGAACTCAAAGCAGAAATCTGAAGAGTCATCTATGATCGTGAACTAAATAGCATATCTTCCCCTTCCACCCACTCTTCCACCAATTCATCCTTCAATTTTATATATTTCAGATGCAACCCACCCAAAAACTTCACAAACACGCTGATGTTGTTATTGTCATATTAGTTCTTCTTATCCCATCGGGTTACATCTATGCAACCTCTCTTGAGTATGTACTCCGTCATAAGTACTATATGGAAGATGAAATGGCTGTGTAAACAACAAAACTAAGTGAGATCTTGAGGTATTTACAAACAAATCATCTGTGCACAAGTGCTTTCATTCTTCTCTGTTTAGATGGTTATCAGTAAAATAAAGAATATGATAAAATAAATGAAAATAATGTTGTACAGAAAACAATAAATTGGCTTTCGTTAAAGCATGCAATGGTCGAGAATGCACTAATATTGTTGCTAGAAAATAAGTGGTTTATTTTGCCAATATATATATATATATATATATATATATATAATATTTTCTGCCACAGATTATATTTTTGATTTGACTGACTAAATAATTTCAACTAAAATAAGGGCTGATGTTGTGGGACACGTTATCGCGTTGTGCGTCATCGTATGTCCGCATGTCTGCTCGCCAGGATTGGGAGGTGCGGCCGTTCAACTCTGTGTGCCGCGATCGTACAAACAGTGACCAATCATTAACCTCTGTTTAACCTAATCCCCCATCCTGATCATGAGTAGCTCCCTGCGTGTATACACTTTATCCACAATACTCGTACTGAATAAACGTGCTCCGTGCTACACGTCTGTTTTCTTTATAGCTGGGGTATAGCTGGTTCTGGGGGAGTCTAGCTAGATGTTGGAGAATTTGCCATAGAGACTTCTGAGTTGGTCAGGCTGTACTAAGGTAGCAATCCGCTACAATGTTAACAGACTTTTTGTACGTGGCTCAAATCAGTAAGCTATGTTGTACGCCAAAAGCACATTGGCAGAAGAAGTAACAGAGGTCAGGAAGCAGCTTTTCTTCAGAAAGCTACTACTAGTGCAAATTGCCCTTTTATTTCCTTAGCCAAATGCTAATATGACTTCCTTGAATGAATCTTAACATGCTTCCATATACATGTTCGCTCATTTTGATTAATTAAACGCTAAGTAAATGATCGAATCGAAAATCTTTTTAAACTTGACGAATGTTAACGGTAATAACAGTCGCGCTCTTGGAGCTTCTCTTAAAAGTCATAAAAATTATTATTATTATTCTTACTGATTGGCCTTTTAGCCAGATGTGTAAATTTGCAAAACATATATCAAAGGCTATATGATTCGGCTAACTTACAATGAGTAAAGTAACTCTCTGAAAGGAGAGAAATGTAAGCTTTACCTCGGCCGAATATTTATAGTTTTTACTTTATTAAAGACCTTAAATGTCCTATTCATGTCATTTTCCTGAACAAGCTTGGTGAGAATTCACATACTCCAAATTATTAAGTTTTTATACCCGACCGTATTTACAACAGACAACTTAACTCTAAAAATTTACTGAATTAAGTTGATACAATACGTCTATTCCCATCGTTTAGCTTAGAATAAAGATTAAAATTTTATGAAAAATTAAATAGTAACGAAAGGCAGAGTAGTGATTATAAGGTATAATTTATCATTAATATTAATATAAGCGCATTTAATATTTAATAACTGAAATTCTATAAATCCCTGAAATTTTAAATAACAATTTCTATGTCTTAAAATTAGCAGCTTTGAAGAACTTCGTTAAGCCCTCATGACCTATTTTCTATAAATTCTTTTGGAATGTGCTGTTGTGTTCAGAATCTTCCTTCACATTAAAATTTTGCATTTGCCAATTTAATTGATTCAATTAGTTTGATACATCATGGTTGCAAATTTAAAATTCGCTTGAATGATCGGTCATTTAAAAATTTTAAATATAATAATTATTTTACTAGATTCTTTTAAAGCAATGGTGCGTTGTTTATTAAATATTGAATAAGTATTTGACGATATATCGTTCATCTATTCTGTAACACTCCCGCGTGGTTTAGGCAAAGGGGAATAAGGTAGCAATCCGCTACACACATATGATTGTGGTTTCCTAGCCGCCATGTAAAGTTTTGCTGAAAGATCCAAAATTTTCTACAAGTTTGTTCATGACCCGTTGTCTGCTTTTGTATATAATTTTTTTAATTGCAATTTCCTATTTCGATTTTGAATGGTAAACTATTTTGTTTCCATGACAAATTTTGACTGTTCGGGCTTTAAAATCTTTACCTCATTTATATTTTTCTAACTCTACCAAGTGGATTTTTATGATATCTAAATCTTTTTCAACTGTATTGACACTGTGGTTTTATACCTTAAGATTGCCATATGCCGTCTTTATTCATTTTTTTCAAAAAATACATTCCAAATATTGTTTATTTTCACTTTAGAAAATGAATGAGGGAATCAGTGAGGACTCTGATGATTTCACCTTTTGGTTAAAAATTTGTACTGTTCTTACTATTATCTTCTACACTTTCTGCGGTGTGATTGTATTTCTGCTCCGTCGAATTATTGGTGATGCTTTAAGCGAAGCTTTGAATAAGGTCCCACATCGACCACAGCCTGAAAAAGTTGTCCCACTCTCTAATCCTGTTGCAATCACCAATCTCATTCATCAATCTAAGGATAAACGCCTGGAGTTTACTCTGTCTCTCACTAAAAATGTTCAGGTGTTTGTCCTTCGAAATGTTCCCCTATCAAGTTTTCATGAAGTCATGGTTGCCTCCGCCTCAAAGTTCCATCAATTCGTTGTTGAAATGGCTTCTGAAAGTTTTTCGGTGACTTCGTCTAGTATGCATGTCAAGACCAATGATTGCCAGGTGCCTTACGATAAGTTTCGAACTTCGTACGATCTTGTATTAGTTTTCTTTGATGAAAATGACGTAGTATGTGCATCAGAGGAGGAAAAGGTTCTCTTCTCTTTTCATATGATCCATGTTAAGCAGTATGAAGAGGAACGAAGACCAACTCAGCTTCTCTTCTCGTACTGTAAAACTAGCCGTGATCGGTTGATTTGCATCCGAGTAAATATTCGAATTACCTAATTTGAAATTAAATTGCTACTAAACGTACATTAGTAGTTAAAATCGTTCATTTTTAGAAAGTCTTCGCTTCTGAAAATTCTGATACAGGCGAGAAGGCTAATCGACCAGAATGTTCGGTTTGCTTGTCAGAAGTTGCCGATGTGATATTTGTGCCGTGTCGACATTCACCAATGTGTCAAAACTGTTTGTCCGGTTTTCTAATCAACACAAGATGTCTCCACTGTCCCATTTGCCGGGTTGCAATATCAGAGATCAAACTAGTGTGAAGTGACATTGTAATTCGATTGCTTCTTTTGTACTTTCTTTACTCAGGTTTATTCATTTAAATATCTTTCGAATCGTGCATATTGAAGTGACTTATCTTATAGTGAATATTACTTGTTATTTGTTGTTTCGCTGATCATGAATTGTAGGTAGGTAAAGGGAAGAATTAAAGTAAAAAAGAAACTGGCTATCGTTATCTATATTAGCTTGAATGATTACAGAACCCAAAGGTCATATAATAATGGCTTGCGATATTCAATGCTTATGATCGTTCCCATCTTATTGAAATATTTCTTATCACTTACTTAGGTAAGTATCTGTTCTGAGCGCTGTTATTTGAACCCGTGTTCTAATGCTCAAGGGCCAAACATTATTCATTTATTCTAAATGGGTTATGCGATCAGATGATCAAAGAAGCCATGACATTAGTATTCTAAGTAGGTTGTTGGCATTTTCAGTATCACACCTTATCAGTTATACCTATCCTGATTGAGAAGAATATACTTATTATTCTCAATCTGTTGAATGGTTTGCTTTCTTCCAACCTATGACAAAATTATAATCTTGTTACCGCAACCACTTCGAAATAGCAAAGCAGCGTCGTTTTTCAAGAGATCGACTATTTACAAGAGAATAAAGATAGAGTAAATTCTGAAGCAATTTGGCTTTGAATGTATCTCATACTTCTAATCCGCGTAAAAGTCAGTCTAGGGGATAATTTAAATATTTGGTTCGTGGCAACACACCTCTTTTATTCAACACCTAGTTGAATAGGTGCACTAGGCTCTTTATGCTGGAGACTTCCTTTCATTCTTTGGAATTCGACACCATGTGCGAGTAGCACTTGTAGCGGTTAGTAAACACATAAGCCAAGAATAACTCTGAGCAATTCCTTCTGGCAGAATATCCCCTACTTTGAAGTTGCTCCCCAAGATTATTTAAGCCATCCCCAAACAGTATTGATGACACAGCACTTAGAATATGCAGAGTTTACTACATCTTAAGAGTCATTGACACAAATCTTAGCAACTACGATGCGTTACAGCAATCGCGGACTGCTGGACAGCTGAGAAACCCCGCACTTACTGCCGTACTTGATTGCTAACCAATCGGTAGCACGGCCGCACCTTCCAGACTATTCTAGCATGGATGGGCTTCCTTATGTTTGATTTTAGTAGCGAAGTTGAGAACAACATAAACGTCTTAATGAAATGGCATTTCTACCCAAGATAGATAGGCTTTAAAATCGTTTTCTCGAAGTTGCTATAAGCAATAGATAAGTACGTAGTTAGAAAGTGAGGGGTTATATTAACTCTTCCGTCTTATTGTGACGCAACGCTCCGTGCAATTTCGAAACATTTTTATGCTCTGCGGATATTCGACTTCTCTTTCTTAAAGTCCCACGGCCTTAGACCCTTTAAAATGCCATCACAAGGATTCGGATCGTGTTGATATCTCAAGTTTTAAGAGGATTTCTCACATTTAAAAATAAACCGTAATAAAAGAACAATTAACTTTTCCAGGTAGCGGGTTTAATTGAATTATTGCTTGGAAAGATTTGCCTATATTCCTTTCAATTTTCACACCCATATTGTACTTAACGGATCAATCAATAATACGGGTCAAACAAAACATAAATAAATATTTCCACTTCTATACACGAGGTGCTTTGACAATGTTGTGCTGTACTTTGTAGTCAACTGACAATGTCATGTACTTCTCTTCAGGCCTTTTCCAAACAATTCGGCTAAGGTGCAAGAGCTTTGATTCTATATAAACCCACAGGGAATTCTAGGCTACTTACCCTCTTTCCAACATGAAGTTGAATATTCTCGTTGTATTCTGCCTTCTCGCTGTCTCTCTTGGCTCGGTATGTTGCTACTGAATTTCAAATAAGTTGACTGGATGAAATCATAATAAACAATTTTTTTCCACCTAGCCTCTGCCAACTTGTGGCTGCCAAACCCACGGTTGCAATCAGGAGCATTATCCATATGCCATAAACGGTGGCCAGACACCAGAGGAGAACCCAACCGCCTATGACTCCAGAGGTAGACCAAATTCTGGTTCTCCCTATGATGAGTCCAGATATCAGTATCCTGCACATACACGTGGTGACTCCAATGTTAATCAAGGTGGTTACGATGGTCAACACCATCCCCACGGCTATCCTTCAGACCAGTCTCATCAGAATGCTCAACAGCAGTCATCACATAGATCAATTACTCTATCCTGGAGACTCCAAGGTGATGTTAATCACCAGATGGGAAAGCAAAGACCATCTGTTTCTCCATCTCATCCGCAAGGTCAAAATCAAGGACCATGGAATGGCGAACACCCTTCTCAACCCGGACATGCTATTCAACCAACATGGCCACAAAGACCAGCTGTTCAACCAATTAGATCTCAAAGTCCTTCAGGACAAGGCTCTGTGTATGGAAATAACGAAAATCAGCAGGAACAACAAATTGCTCGACCAACTCCGAGACCTAGACATCAGGCAAACGCGAATTCTTACGAAGCCGAGGCTTCAAACCCATATGGCGGGATGACTGGAACGCCATACCGTCCAATTCACATTTTGCCTTTCCCTATCCTTCACCATTAAAACTCCCTCAGGAGAGGTAGAAAATAAGGAACTTAGAAATAATATTAAATTTGCCTTTCGTACTGAATTTTGTTTTTCCATTTGGTGGCAGCTCAAGATGGGCTTGTAGCAGAATTCGATGGTACTGCAAGACTGCATTTGAATTCAGTGGGTTTGCGAGTTAGTAGTGATTGTTTGGCGAAAATTACTCGATGTACTTACTTCAAGGTAATGTTATTCAGATCGAATGCCAAGTGATTTCAGACCTCAGTTGTATATTGAAGTCACTTTTCTCTTGGGGTTTGCTCCGTGGACCAGAAAATGCGATCGAGAGAGAGAGGGGGATAGAGAGTAGTTGAGGGCTGGCGACAACAGAAGATGGGGTAGAGCCTTCTAATTTAATTCCTGAAATTAGTAGGAAGTCATTCTCTATTTGTGAGGTCTGACGGTTAACCACTGTCATGCTGAAGAATTATCCCATTTCTGTTGGCCAAACTTGTGCGTTTATCCTTCAATTTCCATTTCAGCCTTTCTATTTACTGTCAATAAACTTCGACTGATTATAGATAATTGGAACGAATTGTGCCGCATAACTCGCACTAAATACATAGGAGATATTTCCGTTTCATTAAGCCTGGTTTAGATGTTGAAATTAATGTTTGACTTTGAGATAACAATTATGCTATCACTTCGCTTTCCCATAATCAGCATGACGTTTAAAAAGGCAGATTCCTTGTCTTGAAAACAAAAAAATGCACGCGTTTTTTTCATTCATTTTGGTTACATCAGGAGACTTGATTTGGAGACAACCACATTCTCGGCCTCCTCAATGGTGTGTGATACTCTTCAAGTGCTGTTGCATAGTTGTTCAAGGAAATGAGATTGAATGTGGTGAGTATTTCAATTGTTAGCAGAAGAGCTGTTCCAAAATGTTCACCAAGATACGTAGGTCCTCCCTATTGTGGTGTATTATTTAAGCACCTATTGTTCTATTTAATCATTTTAAAACAGGATTGAAGTGGGAGGGGTGTAAGCATTTTACTCTAGTAGCCTTGTCAGTGTACAAATCATGAGGAGCTTATAGTGTGCAATATGTTTTCTGTCTGTTATTTAATTAAGCATTTTCATCCTTTACAATAAATTAAGATTGATTCTTCAAAGCCAATATTAAACGATTCATTCAATATGAAAAAATACCTAATTGTTTCGTTCAAACTATTTGGACAAACGCCTGTTTGTTAAACTTACAATTTCGTATGGGTGAATCAATTATTTAGTATACCTAATGTTGATGAAGTTGAAAGTTGGAAAGAAAGATCACTTAGCCCAGGGACTGCAAATGGTTAGAGCATATAACCATGACCCAAAAGGTCCTCTCGACCCTACTTAAAGCGATACCATCCAACGGCCACGTAGCCAAATCTTAGCTATGGCCACATCGAGACCCACCGGTTGAACTTTCCAATGGACCCACTCTACATAAAGGAGTGATTTTCACCTTGCTCTAACGTACTTAACACGCTACTAATAACCATGAGCCTCGTTGAAATGCTTTATTTAATCTATCTACGCAAAAGCTTTCACAGAGATTGACAGATCTCCCTTAGTTTATCCTATTTATTGTTCACCTGATTCGTGAAGGTTTGTTGCTATCCCTTAACCTCTGAAGATCACAAGATTATAAAGGAATATCTCAATCAGATTATTTATTTATGACAAATGGTAG